CATTTGGAAAAATTTTTGAGCAAGACCATGGGAAAATTTTTTTCTAAAGTACCCCGATCCAAAAGTTATTGCGTACCATATAATCAACCATGGAGAAGACGAATCTGCAGTCGGTTTCGACCGAACAAGCTTTTGAAATTTTTCCATTCGGTGATATGCTCTGATTTGATGTGTAACCATCGTAATCTAATATAAAGCTAAAAAGTTTTCTTGAGAGATTTCAAAGGTTCCCAGAGGTCTAAAACTGCTTCTAATCACCAAACAATGCTCACGCCGCCCTTCGGTCGGCATTCGCAGTGAATATTACACAGTGTGCATTTTTCCATAGATCAGCCGGACATTTGCTATAGAAGCAGTTCAAAAGTCTATAGACATTATTTTTATAGGTTTTCAGATATGCTCTTCCAACGGTGTGTTTTTCAAAGTTCAAAGAGACTTTCATCTGGATTCTCCAGAGACCGAGCCTCTAGAAAACTCTTACATAAGTATTCTGAAACTTTTTAAAGCGCATCATTGGAAAGAGCATAGCTGAAAACCTATAAAAATAATGTTTATAGACTTTTGGACTGCTTCTATAGCAAATATCAAAATTCTTAGCCAAAACTATGACTCTATGCTTCGACTTTAGCATTTCGTTAGATCCAACTAGTTTTTGCTCAGAAGAACCTATAAATCGCATATCATGCGATGCAATTTTTTGCGCTGATTCCGAATATGTTATTTTTGTTAAGCTCAAGTTGTACACTAAAAAACCTTTTTTAGTCTGAAGACTGGTTCTTAGAGACCCGGCACCAGCATAAAAATTTTAGAAAATTTAATTTCCAACATTTCATATTCCAGACTCAAGTCCAATATCCATCATGGTGGAAAACGCTCATTATTATTAATTAGTTATTTTAAATTTATTAAGTTATTTTTATCCATAACAAGAAAGAGAATGACAAATGTATATATATTTGTGTAAGTTCGATGTGGTACAATGGCGTATATTGAAGACTACTGATTTCTAGGTACAGAGTTCGAATCTCTGCACTAGCTGTGTTTCTTTCTTTTTCACCTGGAGTTACAACTAATTATATCGCTCTTTATATGTAGCGATTCTTTTTTTTAAACAGCTAGATGTATCTAGTTCTTATTGTTTTCTATCAACCATAATTTCTTTCTAGATGCATCGTGTAATCGTGTAAAACCCGATGCATCCAGATAACCCTTTTAATTACTCTTTTGTCTAGATACTTTTGCTGGAGTATCGGGCGATACCCCAGCAAGTGTATCTAGATTTTTTCGCTTACGAATTCATGCTTAGATTATGAAAAAATATCGTATGGATACCTCTGTTATATGTGAGTAAAAGAAAATTTTCTGACATTGTTAAAGAGGCTATAACAGAATTTCCTGAAAACCTTTGGGATTTGAGCATTTTCAGAATTTTCAAATTCAACTAGAACATTCGGTCCGAAGACTATTTCATCAGACATTAGATAATAGAGAAAACTCTGGTTTAGATGGTTTTTAGTTAAGAAGCGGGGAAGATTTTACATTAAAATTACTTGATAATTATAAAATTTTAGAAGCAGTAATTACATGTAAATGGGGCTCAAATTTCTCATTAACGGAAAAAGATAATAGTCAAATTTTTATAAACATTTAAAAAGATTGAATTGTTCATTAATGAAAGAATTTGTAAAGAAAAATAACAAACCAAAAAGAACTAATGTTCATCCATCACCAGTACAATCGCAGCCATTAGTTCAAATGATAACGAATCCTATAATTACGCCACCTCCATTCACAAATAGTGCATCAACAATAACACCAACGAAAAACAATTCTAAACAGTCGGACTCTTCAATGTCTGCTTCGCAACGACAAATAACATAGTCTCATACAGAAGACGAAAGAAATACTGAGTGATGCAGAACAAGTAAAACAAGAGGACGGCATAGATCAATAAGAAGATTATCATAAATAAAAAAAACAGAGCAACACTGTTTTCTTCTTCTCATACTATTTCTAAGCTGCTTATCCGTTATCATATTTCTACGCTACAACAAACTAATTATATGCGTTAACAGAGGAAGATAATCCAATATAATACGTATGAAAATTGGGATGATGTAAAATTTGTACATGATCGAAGCTGAGAGTGAGCCTCTTCCCAGAATTACTTGGCAAAAGTGATTTTGCTGTATCAGAAACTGTACTTTAAGTAGAGCTAGGAATTCAGGTTAAATATTCCACTTGACGGTCCTGTAGGTATAATTTATAATACTGTATAATTTTTTAAATAAATATTTCGGAAAAATTTTTTCAGTTTTGCGTATCGATGTTTATCTTGAATTGTTTTCAATGAAAATATCAGCCAAATTCGACTTATTATATACTATTTTTTAGTCTAAAACCGTACACACCTAACACTTCATGCTAATTATTATGAAAAAAGTTTGTTAACTGAATGATAGTCCCATATCCAGCCTATATAAATCATCAAAACAAAGAGACGTACCACTGTCGTTGACTTATTGAATTGTGTATCGACACAATTCAATGATGAGTAATGTCGGGATTGCCTAGGAACAGAGTTAAGAGTGCATCGTCCAACATTAATCTAGCAGAAGTGTAAATAAATGAAGATTGCTTGTGCTGTTTATTTCCGAATACGAAAGTAGTTCTAGAAAACGTGTAGTTTTACACTTTAAAGAGAGGAGAAAAAAAAGGAAACGCAGACTACTGTGTGTAATTTATAACCTTTCGAAAACACGCACACGCGAAGGTTACACGACATTGAAAATACCAAAAAAATAAGAGTTTTACACATAGACATAGGTGTTGAAAACGACAAACTATTTTAACAATAGAGAGACCAACGAATATAAGAACGAAATAAAAAAGTAAAACACAACGCTCATGAGATAGAGTTCACGATGGTATTACCGATTGACAAAACGTTCTTATAAAATTCTTTTTCTGCTCATTTCGACGATGCTCACTTCTTTTCGAAGTAAAACTGTTTTGAGTTCTAAGCTACTATATTGACTTCGGGTAAAGTACTTTGTTGAAGTGTTGTATTCGCGATCGGCATCATCGACTGAGTATTGGTTTGTGTGAAATTTGTTGGAAAGATACGACGATGAAAATTAATAAAGGTTGGACATAATGAACTTAGAAATTGTCGACGAAACAGCTGACTTGTTAAACAGTGAAGAAAGAAGTTAATGGCATAGTTAACAGCTAAGATGAACGAAAGTATGGCCGGTAATTCACTTCTTGTTAGCGTGCTCTGGTTCAACAGATGACGTGCTAATAGAATATTGTAGATTGCATATGGAACTGTTGTAAGGAAGAAGATGAAAATTGAACCCAGCATCAGAATAAACATTTCACGTTGCACGTAGATTTGTCGTCGACTGCGTCTTTCTCCTTGGGGTTGCAATTGGCGTTTCCTTGATTTAATTTTTGTAAACATGTCAACTAGAAAAGCTAACATGAGTAAGGACGGAACAATGCCTTGTGCAACTGGGAAGAGATACGCCCAAACATTGCCAAAAAATGCAAAGTAGGTAGGATAGGCAGTGTTACCAACGCATAGTTGAGTAATTTTACTATCACCGAACATTGGTGTAAGCAGATGAGAGCAGAGACCAGTGGAAAATACGGTTACAATCAATACGCAAACTAGCAGGTACTTGAGTGCGCAGTACTTCTTTGATTTCCATGGAAAACGTGTACGAATCCACCGATCGACGGAGACTAAGACCAATGTCCAAGCCGAAAAGAGCATGAAAAATTTAGATAAAAATGTACGGAAACGACATAGTGGCACGTAGTAGTAATCTGTTAAACCGAGACCATAGATGAAGAAATCGTGGGTGAGAAGAAACAGAAAACCAAGATCGGATGCAGCCAAGAATAGAAATAAAATACTCGTTGAAACACTACGCAGCGTTTTACGTGAAAATGTAAATAAACTACATAGACTTCCAATTAAGCCGACCAAAAACAGAGCTGAATAACCATATAAATAGATGTATGTTGCGATAGGCGATGAGGATGAGGACATTGGACCACCGCCATCACCTCCCGGACCACCGCCACCGCCTCCCGGACCACCATTTGGGGGCGGCGGCGGCATACCACCACCACCAGCAGGAGCCGGAAAAGTTTGTGCCATCAAACTGAATTACTCAACCTAAATTGTGCACTTTATAATAGAAAATGATGACAGAATAAATAAAACAAATTCACAAATTTTACAGTTAACTAAGAAAAGAAGAAAAAAAAGTAGGATGCTTTTGACAAGTATTTAGAAGAAGAAAGTTACGTTACCGTTCAATCTGCGTAGCTGCATGGGTTAAGTGGGGGTAGAAGATGTTTCTAAATCTTTGTCACTTCGAAAAATTAGGTTGTAAATAAAACTTCTTCGTAATAAACTTCCAAAATATGTTAAATAATTAAAAACTAGCCAGAGTTCTACCGAAGGAAATGTATCATAGTAATATGTTTCACCCATTACAGCGATAGCATACGGTATCCATCCAATTGAGTAGTCAGACAAAGAGATAGGAGTTCAGCGATCACACGACAATTCTGATTCCACACGGATTTATCATTATTTGTACTTCATAATGTGCGTCTCTTCTGAAAGACAACTCTGACAATTTTCAAGATATTAAGCGAAGCTCCATGATGAAACAAAAACTTTGACCTTTATAGATAAGTGTGCACTTTTAGCCAGTTTTAGCCAATTTCAGTATTTAATCATTTTTCTTGTTAATATAAGTCCAGCAGAGTTGGTTCTGATTTCGATAGAGGAGATAACAGGCTACAAACAATTTTATTTAGAACCCATTCAAAGTTTATACTCGGCTCGCTAGGCCTAAAATACTTCAAAAATGAGATCTCTTGACTATGTCGATTTTCCGAGTATGTTGGATCTTTTGACATGCTAGTTAAGAGACCCCACGGATTCTTTTTGTTTTTATATACATTCATTAATTCTGGGTCGAATGATGTATATGACATTGAAGTGAATGAAAACTGTCACAGCAGATCGAAACAGACCTCCGAATGTGATTCTGCGACGAATGATGTATATGACATTGAAGTGAATGAAAACTGTCACAACAGATCGAAACAGACTTCCGAATGTGATATAATATGATATAGACACCATGGCATGTTTCTAAAAGAACTATATTTTTTGGTTGCAATTCATTCTATTACCAAAATTGATAACAAATTCATGTTCAGCAATAAAAACTGAGTTAGATTTTGTGTCACATTAGGGAATCTAAGCCAGATTAGGCCTATAGATCATCAATATGTAACATATCTCCGTCAGACACCTCGCGGTAATTCGTGCTTAATACAACCGTAAAGGCCGAGAGACACTCTATTTTGTAGAAAATTGAGTTGTGAACAAAATGTACGGTTTAGCTTTTCGTTTTAGGCAGTTTAGAAGTTTTTAGTTTTTATGTTTTAGAATGATGCATAACTTACAGTAGTCATAATTGCAAAATTTCTTCCATAAACAAAAGGTGGGGGCCCGATTTTCCCTGATATTGGCCCACTGCTTTTTCGACTTAATTTTTATCAGAATTTGTAGATAAAACGCTTTTACACATTTTTAAGTGTCTATGTAAGTGAGCTCTACACATCATTGCCTCAATTCATTATGATTCAAATACGACAAAAATGAAGGAAACACACTCATATTTTGCAGTTTTTACCCATCAAATTTCAATTTTTTCTCAAAATCAACATCATATTTCGAATCAGCGTTAAAAAAGTGCATTGAGCAATCTTTATTTCGGAATTTTTGGGCCAAGATTTTTTATGAAAAATCAAAGTTGTTCGAAAATTGCGAAACAAAGATTGTTCAATGCAGTTAAGGATAAAATAAATGAGCGTATATTTATTTCTTTGCAAATGTGTGCCAAATGCTATGAAGAATTTGAGAAACGTTGTTTGATTTAAGAAATCAATCTTTCTTTATAAGTTAAATTCAAGGCTATTTACGTGTGTCATGAGATTAGTTTCTAAAATATACTTCAGTTCAGGTCACACCCCAGTGAAAAAAACGTACTTTAGCATTAGTTGCAGAATTTTCTGGTAGATCTGCAAATACAATCATTCCATAATAATAACTCTTCTTGGCCAAATTATCCGGTAACGGGGTAATACACCACTGAACAATAAAGAACGATTTTATATCATTTGTAAGACATAAGACATGACTTACTTTTTCCAATTTTTGTGTTATGCATACATTTTGAGAAGAATATAGCACTGAGTAATGCGTATCACAGCCAAACAAAGCGTTTTACTACGACTGAGATCAGTATGAGTAAATCGGTTTGTCACATAACGCACCACCTCGCTGATTAAAACTTTTTATCGGAAAACTAATTTAAATACATAACTAGATGCAGTTTTTTACGCTGATTATGAATCTGACATTTAAAAAAAATAAAATTGAAATTTCAGCAAAATAAATTTCTTACCTAGATAGTTATCTGAAAAAATTTAAAAACTATGTCATTCGATAGAGAATCAAGTTGTCTACAAAATGGTTCATTTTTCTTTGAAGTTCTGATACTTCGAAGAAATTTTATAAGTTTTTTCACTTTTCAAAGTTCGCAAAAGAAACATATTTTGTGAAGATTTTTTCAAAAACTTAAAAAATATTTGTAATTTATTTCTCATCTAGACGCCTTCGTCCTATGCCAAACTTTACATGCAAGCCCAAATTTGAGTTATACAAAGCTTGTTATCGGCTTGTGCAGCTAATGGCCTCCTTTTTTCGCTGTTTTTCAAAGAACTATAGCAAGAAAGTTAGAAAATAATCTAAAATTGCAATCAGATAATTAAGTAGATTAAACATTTTTCTATAAAATTAAGAGAAACTTCTACATGGGGCCAACGATTGATTTAGGACTGAAAGAGACGCTTTCAGCGGTATATATTTGAACAATATGCTTCGCATCATGCTCTTCGATTGGTATATCGAAATAGGATTTGATAATTTCAATCCCCGATGTAGAATGTAGTGCCGTTTCCAAAAAGTTTTCTTTTGCATTTTGTAATTGTCTAGGAAGAGTGTTCATGTGTTCATCCGGTACGGCAGTGTTCTAAATAATAATAATAATACGTTCTTGTTCTTTGATAATTTCTCGATTGCTCTTAATGATTGCTAAATTATAGCTGCACAGCGCTTTTTGTTTTGAAACATCTATTTCCAAACTCGCATCAGTTTTGCATGAATTATTCATCTTGCACAGGCTCCATTCTCTTCTCAAATTCTTCATTGAAAGTTGTCTTATGTTTTATATTTTGGAAGACAACATTGTGACACCTTGGTGTATGAATTATAGTGAATCAAACAACGCCAATGTTTTATTGACATTTGTTAAAGCTCTTTCTCTTTACTATTTCTAAGGATGCACAGTTCCGTAATATCTTTTATCACAAATTGAGATTTTTTTCATTATATTTTGGTTGCATTAAGTCATTTTTCACTCGAGAAAACCATTATTATTCAGATGAATAAATAATTTTAGGTATCCTCTCAAATGCTGTGTAAGTCAAGAGTGGTCATTTGAAAAGTGGTCATTTTAAGCCTCAATTTTGGGCATATACTTTACATTATTGGAGAAAAAAACGATGAGAAAATGGCCCAGAAAACTACAGTATTAATCGAAAATGTCAGACCCACAAGACTATAGTTCTAGAAGCCTCCACAGCCTTTAGAAGGCTTAAGATGTTCCTGTAAACTACCAAAGCCGTTATACGCGAAAGTGAAAGACTCGACGAAAGAAGGCCACATAAACGTCAGAATGTAGATTAGAGTATATCAGATGGAAGAAATAAAGCATCCTTATTTATTCTGTAGAATTTGAATATTCATTTGTAGCTGTTGGATTAATGGATGATCTGATGGTAAAGTACGCAAAGCATTTTCATAAGCTAATTTCAAATTTTTTAATCCGTCTGTATGATTCATTAGTGATAAATAACAAACACCAATACTTAAATATGCTGTACTGATTGACAAATGATCTCGAGGTAAAAATTTTATCCCCATTTCATAATAAATAATCGCTTGTTCATTTTGTTTTAAAAACCGATGTGTTTCTCCTAACTGAATATATGTTAAACCGATATTAAGACTATCATGATCTAATATAGCTTGTTGAATTTCAAGTGCTTTTTGAAAACATTTACAAGCTTTGTCATGTTGAAGGTTTTTGTTGTATACCATTCCAACATTGCTATAAAGTGTTGATAATAATTTTGATAGTGGACGTTGATGATAGTTATGAATGTCAATAGCTTTTTCATAAGTTTCTATTGATTTATCATACTCTTCGAGACCACCATATATTGTACCTAAATTATTGTATGCCGTCACTAATGATAAATGTTTTGAATGTAAATATTTTGATTTTATTTTTATGGATTTTAGGTTGTAATCGCGAGCTAAGTCATATTGTTTCTGATGTTGATAAATGGTCGAGAAACCTTCATATATGCTGGCGATGTCCGGATGAATTTCTGGAAGAATACTTAAGGCTATTTCTAAGGCTTTTTCTTGTGACTGTAGAGCTTTTGTATAGTTTAACATTTCAGTATAACAATTCCCAATATTCATGTACAAGGTAGCTGCTAATAAAGATTTTTCACCGTCACCTAGTTTCAATGTGATTGCTAATGATTTTCGTAAATATGTTAAGGCTTGTTCACATTTTTTACTCTCTAAATAAATGAGACCAGTTCCATTACATAAAATCGATAATAAATCAAAACTTGGTGTGGACGATTGCATGTTGAATTGAATGGATTTTTGAAAGTATTCTAATGCTTTATCGTACTCGTCTGTACTCTGGTAAGTTTGACCGATATTATGATACAAAATAGCCATATTAACACAATCAAGGTCTTGTCCATTTTCTCGAAGAAGTTTTTCAAAATAATACCTTGCTTTTAAATATTCTCCCATCCGGTTTAGATAGATACCAAATGTACATAATGTTATTGGCATTTTACGCTGAGCAAGTTCAGTTCGATAGAAATCAATCAATAAATTTTCATCATTATGATCAATATTTTGCTGTCTAAACGCTTTATTTAACAAACGGTAGAGAAATGAATCTTTTGTATACCAATAAATCG